TTTTTTACTCTTTTTTTTCAAGCAACATAATTTAACTGGGCCGGGGAAGTTTAACTATAGGTTCAAATGTGCCATGAGATTAAAAAAAAAAAAAAGTTGAAAAACACTGACTTACACAAACGTACCCTGATAATGTTTCGCTCAGATGCCACTGACACACGCTCAGTGAAGTCTGAGTGAATTGAGTCCCTGCCCGGGGCTTCTCGGGTTCAGGTGCCCTTTTCCTGTGTGCCCCTTCCTCAGGGAGGCTGTGGGCGGGGCCGTGTATCAGGTGCCCGGAGTGGCGCTTCCAAACACCATCTCAGGTCGCTAAGGTCCTGGTTCCCTGCACGCCTGGAGCTTTGCCACACCTCACTGAGTGCCTGCTCCAGCCAGGCTGTGGTGGGCTCTGGAGTGGGTGGAGAACAAGCCGCCTGTGCCCATCAGGGCCGGTATCAGTGTGTGCCTTACATGACTGCTCGGACTAGTCTTTCTTTGGTCCCCTCAACCCAGCCCCCTTTCCATGCCCCTCCCCTCCCTGGTGGTGGGATGTGGCCAATGCTAAGTCCCTGGATGACCCCAGAAAGGTCCAAATGGGTCTGAGGAGGGGCAGGAATAGCCTGGGAGAGGCAGAGGCAAGGGAGACCCAGGTCCATGTCAGCCAGACCGTGACAGGCCAGATGAGCAGGGCGAGGCCCCGTGTCACCTTCAACTGTGGTTTCACCTCACTCCATCAACATGGGTGGCTGCTCTGGGGTCTGTGCAGACACAGGTGTCCCTGGGCAGGGAAAGAACCTCCTTTGGTATCCCACAGACCGAGGTGTGAATCTTTATCCTGCCCGTGGGCCTCTGAGCACTGTGACAGTGAGCTTCCCAAAGGCAGCCAGAGCGTGTGTGCTGCTCCCTATTTTTGTCACAGCAGAGGAGAGAGTAACCACTCACTATCACGGCAGCACCCCCTGGGACAGACCACACCGGAACACCAGCTGGGGAGAAACGGGGGCTCAGGGAGGGCACCGTTCGTTAATAATGAGGGTTGCACACCCACACGAGCTGACCACGGTCTCACAGCACACGGGAGGATGCAGTTCTGGCCCTCACGCAGCCTCTTAGCAAAGGAAATGAACGAATCAGACAAATGGGAAATAATGTTGTAAGTTGTAGAAGGAATCAGCTAGTGGTGAGATAGACACAAACAAGGGGGGAGTCGGAGATGGGGGTGGTCTCCAAGCCATGTGGAGAACGGGTGGCCAGCATCCCAGCTGCTGGGAACTGAAAAGGCAAAGGCCCCAAGGCAGCTGATGTATTCCAGAGGCTTAAAGAAGCCCAGGGTGCCAGCACATGGTGAGGAGAAGCAGCAAGGCCAACACAGGAGGGAGATACAGACAGGCCAGCTCCAGGGGCCCAGGCAGCGGGCTCGGCGAGGGTCTAAGTGCACAGGGCCATCAGTGGGGGCACCCAGCAGGGAGCATTTTATCTTGAGAAGATGAGATGGAGAGAAGGAGGAGAGGAGGGTCCTGCTGGGTCTGGTGTTGGAGCCAAGAAGGGGGTGGTGGTGGGGTGGGGGGTGCAGCAAAGCTGCCGGAATAGGCCAGGCTGAGACCTGCACCCGGCTCTGTCCCCCACGGCACCCATGACATGCTCGTGTGTCCCCTTCCTGAAGGCATCATGCTGGGCCGCATGGGTGACAGTGGGACCCCTCTGGTCAGCTTCTGCCAGTGTCTCAACGAGTCGGTGATGAAGATTGTGGCAGTGGCTGTCTGGTGAGCCTGGTGGGGATGGATCCTCCCCAACCCCACCCACCCTGTCCCACCCTATGCTCCTAGACAGGTGGAGGGCACGATGGTCCCATCCTCATCCTCTGCTCTCCTGGGACACAGCAGAAAGCCACAGGGAGGTTCAGTCCTGGGCCTGGGGCCAGAGCTACATGTTTTCACAGATCCACCCAGTCCTGACCAGGCCTTCTTCCGGCCCTGGGCCTGCCACTTCCAGGCAGAAGAGCCAAGAGCTCAGTCTGGCTCTGCTGTTCTCCCAGCCTCAGTTTACCCATCACAAGGGGCATCCTTAGATCACCTTTAGGAGAAGGGAACCCAGGGGTGAGAAACAGCTGTTCCTAGCTGAGTTCAGAACTTAGAGGTTCAGATGGGAAGTACGGTCTACCCGCGGTCACCCACAGAAGTCGTGGCCTTGCTGGAGCTGCGCTGGGGCACTTCTCAGAGACGCAGGCAGAGGGAGGCCCAGAGAGGCTGGGCAGGGTAGGACCCTAACTGCCTGCCACCTGAGCCCAGCTAGGCAGGGTGGGACCCCGACTGCCTGCCACCTAAGCCCAGCTAGGCAGGGTGGGACCCTAACTGCCTGCCACCTGAGCCCAGCTGGGCAGGGTGGGACCCTGACCGCCTGCCACCTGAGCCCAGCTGGGCAGGATGGGACCCTGACCGCCTGCCACCTGAGCCCACGTCGCCTGCCGCCCCCAGGTACTTCCCCTTTGGCATCGTGTTCCTCATCGCTGGCAAGATCCTGGAGATGGACGACCCCAGGGCTGTGGGCAAGAAGCTGGGCTTCTACGCAGTCACCGTGGTGTGTGGGCTGGTGCTCCACGGCCTCTTCATCCTGCCTCTGCTCTACTTCTTCATCACCAGGAAGAACCCCATCGTCTTCATCCGCGGCGTCCTGCAGGCCCTGCTCATTGCACTGGCCACCTCCTCCAGGTACCCTGGTGGGCAGGAGGATGGGGAGGATGGCAGGGCAGGGCGTGGGGGCTGTGCTCTGTCCACCTGCCAGGCATTGTCTGCCCACCGCCACAGAGCCACAGAGTGAGACAGAGCGACCGCTCCACGGGCTCAGGGTGGCCCAGCCGCTATGGCGGCAGGACCTGGTGGGGACTCCACGTTTGAGGCCTCCCCCCCGACTGCCTGCCATCCCTGTTTCACTCAGGCCAGATGGGCGTCGCATATATGCAGCAGGGCAGAGGGAGCTGTAGGTCTGCTGAAAAATCACATCAGCAATGAACTGCTGCTGCCTTTGGCTACCACATGATGCTCCTATTGGAGTCAGGCCCTGAGCCGTTCGTGGGACTCGCTGGGACCTCCCGGCTAGAAACCCAGTTACAGGGCGGCAGTGTTGCCAGGTGGCAGGGATTTGAGCCATGGCTCCATCACTTGCTTGCTGTGTGACTGCAGGCTGGTCACACCCTCCCTGGGCACCAGCTTCCTCATGCACACTTAGGGCAGCTGGCATCCCCCAGGCTGGGCTTGTAACCATGGTCATCATGCTCACATCTGTGGGACTGCTCACAGACACAGGGCTGCTGGAGGGGTGGAGGTAATGGATCCTCGAAGGGTGAGAATGCCAGGCTGGGCCAGATGAGTCAGCACCTGGCCTCGAGGTCGGTCAAAGGGGCAGGAAGGAAGCGGTCATCACCGAGCATCAACCCGTGAGGAAAGGGCGTTGTCCCCACAGCGAGTGTCCAAGCTCCTCAGTAAGGATGTCGTAGGGGCTCAAGCCAGCCGCATCCTTCTGACACCAAAGGCTTCACTCTTCCTGCCAGCTCCTGCTGCCTTCTCTCCCTAGGCCTCAGTTTTCCCATCAGTAAGATGCCCAGCAGGCCCTTCCCCCCACCCCAGGCAGACCTAGGGACACACCCTTGGCAGCAGCAGCAGAAGAAAAGCCCAGAAGGCACTGTCCAGGAACATCTGCGCAGGGCCGAGGCCAGGGGGTAAAAGGGAAGGGTAAAGCCTCAGACAGTGCCAGCTCCCGTGCCAGGGGCCAAGCCACACCAGGGCCAGCATCCCCGGCTGCCTCCGGCCAGCAGGAGCCACATCTAGGGCTCATTAGAGGCTCTGCCAGTGGAACCAGCTCCTGGGCAGTGGCCTGTGGAGACAGGAAGGGCTCAAAGGCTACCTCAGCTTGGATTTTCATCCCAGCATAGCCAGGAGGAACTCTCACGACACACAGTAAGAACAATTGCAACTGAGCAGGTATTGTTCAAGACAAAGAAGCTGAGGCACCAGGTGCAGGAACTTGCCAGGGCCACTTGGTAGGAGGCTGCAGTCGAAACCAGGCTGGCCCAGAGCCCTTGCTGTTCAACACTTCATGTGCTCTTGGCACAGCAGGAAAACACTGGGTCAGCCTTTTCCCCCTCTGGGCTCAGTTTCCTCATCTGTGAAATGAACTCAAAGCCATCCCCATAGGAAAAAACAGGTGAGGGTACAGCACAGTGCCTGGTGCATGGAGCTCTGCCAGCGGCCGCTCCCTCCTGCACAGAGCACACGCATACCCTTGTGTGCTGGTGCTGCTCTGCCCACCCCGTGGGCGGCTGCGGGTGCAGGGGGAGCTTCCCGTCAGAGGCCCTGACCATCCTGCAGAGGGCGCTGCGCAGACACTGGCCCCTTTGCCCTCAGCTCAGCCACGCTGCCCATCACCTTCAAGTGCCTGCTGGAGAACAACCACATCGACCGGCGCATTGCACGCTTTGTGCTGCCCGTGGGCGCCACCATCAACATGGACGGCACCGCGCTCTACGAGGCTGTGGCCGCCATCTTCATCGCCCAGGTCAACAACTATGAGCTGGACTTCGGCCAGATCATCACCATCAGGTGCACCCTGATGCCCATCCCCTGTAGGAACAGGGTGGGGGCCTGAGGCACCCTCTGGATCCTCCGGCTCCCAGCCCTGATGGGCTCTCTGAGGCCAATCAGTCCTGGGGCTGGGACTCAGGACACAGGGCTCCTGCTATAGCTGCCCTGCACCCTGAGGGTGGACAGAGGGCCAGGTCCAGCCACTCTGAGCCTGGGAATAGGTGGCAGTGGGAGGGCAGTCCAGAGGGCACAGAGCAGGACTATGGACCATGCTCACGCATGGCAGGAGCTGAGGGCGGGTACTGGAGCCAGGCAGGCGCTGAGAGGCAGCCTCATGCCAGGCAAGCACACACGTCCCGCCTTGGGGAGGCTGCACAGAGCTGTGAGCCCAGCGCTCAGAATCTCACAGGTGCCTACACCTTCCTCAAGAGGGTCTCCTCAGGCCACAGATCGGGGTTCACAGTGCCACAGGATGTGAGCAGGGATGTGTCCCCGAGAACTCGCTAAGGTGGCATTCCCAACAACCCTACTCCGTGTGGCTGTCCCAGAGGCCCTGGCATTCTGGCCTCTTCCTTGGAGCCCGGGCCCTGACAATGCACCCTCACCCACTCCTGCAGCATCACAGCCACTGCAGCCAGCATCGGGGCAGCTGGCATCCCCCAGGCTGGGCTTGTAACCATGGTCATCGTGCTCACATCTGTGGGACTGCCCACTGACGATATCACCCTCATCATCGCTGTCGACTGGGCTCTGTGAGTGGACTTCGGCATGGCCCCAGTGCTCATGCAGCAGGGGTGGCTTGGAGGGCAGCAGGTGGCAGGGGTGGGGGGCTAAGCCCCTGCCCAGGGTAGAGGAATGGAGAACTGCCCCTTAGTTCTCTTAGTAGTGTGGTGGGAGTGCCCTACTCATCAGAAAAGACCTAGCAAAGACCTAGCTATATGGCCCTTTGTTCAAAAATTATAGGGCGGCACCTATGGCTCAAAGGGGTGGGGCGCCGGTCCTATATGCTGGAGGTGGCGGGTCCAGACCCAGCCCCGGCCAAAAACTGCAAAAAAAAATTATAAAGAAGTTCAAGATAGAAACAGCAGAACATTAAACCTGGCCCCTGTAAGCATGGGGACTGTGCAACACACAGCCACACGCCCGTGAAGCCAGCCCTACCTTAGCCAGGGAACCACCTGGCTGCAGGCTCTGCCTGTCAGCCAGTCACCACCTGTGTGGCTGCTGAAGTGGCCTCATTCCTCAGGGTTGAGCACTGCGCTCTGCCAGCTTCCCTCAAAGTGCCCCTGCTCACCACCCTGCTTGGCTCCCCAGGGACCGTTTCCGCACCATGATTAATGTTCTGGGAGATGCTCTGGCCGCAGGGATCATGGCACACATCTGCCGGAAGGACTTTGCTCGGGACACGGGCACAGAGGTGAGATGAGTGTCCCCCTCCCGGCCTGGTGGCCGTCTCCTGGTGGAGCCTGCTGGGGTGGGCACTGGATCTTCCACCAACCAACCGTGCAGGCTTCAACCAACCACTCCATGTCTCCAGGCCTCAGTCTCCTCATCTGTTACAGGGGAACTAATCCCTCTAGCCTGTTTATCAAGCACCCATGATGGCCAGCACTGACACAGACACAGGAGGAACAGTGGGGACAAAACAGGATAAAATCCTCTGCCATTGTAGAACTCACTGTAGCCTGGGGAGGGTGCTGCTCTGCTCGGCACCAGCATGAACATCTGTGGGTCTATACGGGTGGTGTGGTCTTTGGGCTGTCACAGGCTGTCCCACTTCACAGAGAGGAAGCTGAGACTCAGGCACAGGAGCCACTGATTCCCTCAGTGGACCCTGTGGGTCAGGTCCCCTCATCAACTAAGATAGCCCCAGCAGGAGGCATGGCAGCTTGAGAACACGAGCCCAGGGAGGCCACATGGCAGGCCTGTCAGAAAATCCATCTCATGGTTCCCAGACCTGAGGTTGTTCTGTTCCATCCTGACCCTCAGTCCTGCCTGGCGTCTAACCTCAGTCTTGCCTGCTGTTACCAAGACCTGTTTCCCCTCTCCAGAAACTGCCACCCTGCGAGACCAAGCCAGTGAGCCTCCAGGAGATCGTAGCAACCCAGCAGAATGGCTGTGTGAAGAGTGTGGCCGAGGCCTCAGAGCTGACCCTGGGCCCTGCCTGCCCCCACCACGTCCCTGTGCAGGTGGAGCAGGATGAGGAGCCAGCAGCCACCAGTCTGGAGCACTGCACCATCGAGATCAGTGAACTTGAGACCAACGTCTGAGCCTGCAGGGCTGGGCTGGGGGCAGAAGCCTGAGGCAGGAACGCAACTTTCCAACCCTCCTCAGCAGCCAACAGGGGCCAGGTTCACACATTCTTCCCACCCTTGAGCGACTCAGCCCCACTTGACAGAAAATGAATCTCATAAAAGGGAAAGGTCTCAGGAGCAGCCCCAGCCAGAGACTGATGGGTCCGGCATAGCCCAAGCACCAACTGTGACAGTTTTCCCTGTGGACGACAGAATTGAGGCCCTGAGAGCTGCAAACACTTTCCCGAGGCCTTGCCAAGTAGGGTTATGGCCAGGATGCTAACTCAAGTCTTTCAAGTGTGGACCTCTCCCTTCTGGAGGTCAGATGCCAAGAGAGGCCCCGCCCCCTCGGGGCCGCCACCACTTCCCGTGTGTGAAGACATAACAACAATGTCCTGGTTTCTGCCCCAGCTGTGTCCAGGCCTGGGCCAGGCCTCCACCCCACCCCATAACAGGTGGCCTCAGCCAAACAGTTCTCCCCAAGGGAGGCCCAGCCCAGGGTGAACACCCACTGCCTTCCTGGGGCCGCTGTCCATCCGGTCTCCTGTCCCACCACTTGGCTCTTGCAAAGCTCATCAGATGTGGAGACAGATGTCCTCGCTGCAGCTGGAAAGCTCCTTAGACACGACCAAGCCAACTTCTCATGAGACAGGTGGGCAAGCCAGGCCCCAGGGGAGGCTCAGCCTGGGATGCTCTGGTCAGCTCCCCAGAGGCCTATGTTGGCAAAGTCAGCCCTTTTTGTGTTTGCAAATTCCCTGATAATAAAGGCATCTTGTTTTGCACTCTTTGTGGGCTTATAGACCATTTCCTGTCGGCATTTCTTTATCAGGCTAATCCAGGCCTCAGTGTGGCTGGGCCTTGTCCACTCTGCCACCAGCCTGACTCTGCTCTACAGACAAGGCCCCGGAGTCAGTCCCCATAAAAGGAACCAATTTCCTTAGCCAGTCTGGCTCCCTTTGGTGAATGCTTTCTTTTAGGGAGAGGACATTCCAGGGACATTCCCTGACTGCCTCTCTCATCCTCCTCTCCTCAGAGTGCCTCCAGGAGGCCTGCAGGGCACAGGGCCCTATCACACAGTCTGTTCTAGATACGGTCTGGGGAGAAGATAGAGCTCTAGGGTCTGGAGGGATCTTGCCGGTGCTGCCGGCAAAGACACTGATGTACAGAGAGGAGACAGGCCCCCAAGGTCATTCAGGGAGTGAGGAAGGCACCTGTTCTCAGCCACCCATCCTGAACTACTTCCATCCTCCTCCCAGAGCCATGGTCTGAGGAGTCTAGGATACCCCGGGATACTCCCAGGATACCCCCTCCTGCTGCTGTGGGGCTACCACAAGGGTGGCCTTCCTTGGTTGAGGCCCACTCATCCAGGAGAGATGAGGCATCAGGGCACCCGCCACTCCCAGCTTCCTGTGGACAGGCTTGTTCCCTCCCTCCCCGTGTCACAGCTCTGACACCCTTTGAGCAGGCAAGTCTGGAGCCTTGATAGGAGCACACTTACACACCTCCAGCAGCAGAGAGGTTACTACTTCCTGGGTATCTCAAGCCACTGTGGGGTAGTTCTGCCTACCAGAGGTTCTCCTTAGCTGAGAGCTGGGTAGTACCCCCTGCAGCTGCCTCCCTAAGTTCCAGCTCTGTCCCCATGGGGGTGGGGAAATACTGGGCATGTCTGCTACCTCTGCCCTGGGAAGGCCCACAGAGACCTGGGTCCCCAAGTTGGCTCTGCTCCAGCTCCCAGGCCCACCTTGAGTCTCCTCCTCACCTGTCTGGCACAGATCCCACTGACAAGTCCTCCTAAGTGCAAAGGTTTCCTGTGACCCTCCAGGTGAGCCCAGAACAGGCTCACAGCCTCTGGGAAGGTAGCGTGAGCTTGAAGGGCCAGTATGTGGTCCCAGGACAGGACCTGTGGGTTCTCACCAAGCCAACAGGCTGCATACAACTCCTGGCCTCCTTACCTGTGGCTGAGCCCATCTCCCTGGACATCTGTGTGTGCAGCTACCCTCTGGGCCCCAAGACTGCACTGACGCCTACTGGTCTGGCCAGCGCACTGGGGTGCTTGCGTCTTACCCTCCCCAACCTGGTGCCAGCCCAGCACTGGGGAGGAAGCACACACAGACACGGCCACAGACTGCAAGGACAGGGGTAATGCTTTTATATTAGTTTTTCTGTAACAAGAAAAATCAGTTTCAAGATTTTTATCATTTTTTTCCTTGAAAAAGAATGAAAAACCAAAGGCACCGAGAACTTCCGCAGGCCCAAAGAATAAAGACAGTGTCTCATAGGTGTGGCTGGGTCCTTCCTGCCTGGCTCAGCCCAGCCCCACTGCCTCTTCCTCACTCCTGCCCATCAGCAAAGTGCCTGTGGCCTACCAGGGCATGGCAGGGAGAGGCTCTCAGCAGAGTGGCTGCCCCAGGACCTACCTGGGGTGACAGAGTGGCAGGGCCAGGGCAGCAGTCTTAAAGGTTCCTGCCTTCTTTGAGAGGCAAAGGAACAAAAGCCAGCTTTTGTGAGTTCCAGAGGGCAGCAGGCACCTGGCCAGGGCATGGAGATAACCCCGTGTCTTCTCCAGGGGACGGACGGACAGATGCACCGGGCAGATGGCGAGCTGCTCTGGCCAGTTCTGGCTGGGGACAAGAGCTGTCGGTGGCATAGCTGTGGAGCGCTGTTTGCACATGACTGTGTATGTGTGCAACACAGGGGCACATGAGTACACATGTCAGTGGGCAGGGAGCAGGCGCCTGTGTGTGCGGGGCAGAGTTGGACCTCCCTGCTGACTCAGAGGGCGTGGCAGTGGAGGGGAGTGTGCAACCAGCTGTGTGTGTGGCCGAGCGGGTGTGTCTGGGTGTGCCGTGCTGTCTGCACGTGGCTGGCCGTGGGACCGTGTTCAGGCTGTGTTGTGTGGGATGCCCCGGGGGGTGCAGCGCTGGGAGTGTCCATGTGAGTGTGGCAGGAGGAGGCTCACAGGGCACAGGCGTGTGCTGCAGAAAGGAGTCCGGTGGTCCACTGTCCTGCAGAACACACAGGAGAGTCAGGGGTCTGCTCAGCCCCAGCCAGCCTGGAGGGGCCCACCAGAGGGGACCCCCACTCGGACGGCTCTGGAAAGGCCAGGCTAACTGTGAGGGGGTGGGGAGCTGCACTGGGAGCCCAGAGCTCACTGGGAGGTGCACCTGCTGATGTGGGTGGCCTAGTGTGCACTAGAAGGCCTTGGGTTCCGCCAGCCACTCTTCAGAGCCCTGGTCAATCAACCTGCCTATGGCCAATGTCCTCCAGAGGAGACATGCTCAGTCATCCTAGATTCCCACAGCCCACCCTGCCCCTGCCCCTGCCCCATGAAGGCCACAGTGTCCTCACTGAATGGCCAGCCACCCTGTCACTGACCTCTAACTCTGTATGAGGATAGGGCCTCAGGGGACACCTGGATCTGCCCCTCCAAGCTGGGATAATCTCCCCATGCTGGCTTCTCGGTCTTCAGCCTGGGTCTGTTACCCCAGCTCCCTCCGCCATCTGCCCACACAGTCCTCACCCTCAGGCTCCTCTTCCCCAGGCCCTACTTCAAGTCAGCATCCTGACAGTGAAGCGATCCCCTGCCCCCTGTCCCCACTTCGTGGAACATTCTTACTAGCCTGTGATAGCCCCTCTGGCCACACTGCCTCTCCCCTGGATAGCCAGTACATGCCCCCTCTCCAGTAGCCCCCTCCATGACGCTGCTCTCCCACTCTCCATCTCCACCCAAGACCCTACCCAGCCCAACCCCCCTGCCCCATGACTTCAGCCGCTCTCTTGTCAATACTCTCTGTTTCCCTGGTCCTTGCCCTCTTGTCCTATACACCTGGCTACAAACGCAGCCATGGATGGATCCAGTGGTCCATCTTCTCATACCCCCTGGTCTGCTGAGCACCTGCCACTATATAGAGAGAACAGAAGGCTAAAGGCATCGGGCTGACATGACCCTATGTCCAGCCACCAAGCCACTAACCAGCCTGTGACTATAGCCACTTGACACTCTGGCCCTCCTGCCACAGTGTAAGAAGCACTGACCCTCCTGCCAAATCCAGCCCCTCCTACCATCCCCACAGGAGCCCTCAGCCTCCTCCTGTGGCATTAGCTTCCCTTCACCCTCCCCACTTCCTGACAGGATCCGAGCCAGCTCCATCCCTCGAAAGAGGCATCTAATGAAGGGGTCCTTCCCCAATTTCACGCCCCCTCCCACTACCACCCTCTCTCATCTCTTTACACCCAAACTTCTGGAAAGGGCTGTGTATATGCCCTGGATTCACTTTCTTTCCAGCCCTTCTCTCTACCCTATCTCCCCTGCAGCCACTCCCTACAAAGTCACACGTGACCTGTATGTGGATCAACTCAGTAGCCACCCCCCCACCCCGTGACGCTCAGCACTCTCTGTCCCTTAGCAGTAATGACACAGCTGATTCTCCCCACTTTGGAAGAAGCTGGTGCTTGTATGTATCATGTGTGTATGTGTGTGCACATATATGTGCTTGTGAGGGTCTGTGTGCAAGGGTACACATGGGAGTGCATGTGTCCCCAAATGCAGGCATACATGTGCATATAAGTGAACACACGGTCTCTGCCTGGAAATGCACCATGAAGCACAAGCACACGTGTGTCTGTGTGCACATGTGTGGTGTATGTTCTGTGAATGTGTGTGCGTTTATATACACGTGTGTTGGCACATACGTATACTTGCACGTATTACAGATACTCTCTGCCCGTGGCGGCCAGTGGGCTTCCTACCTGCTCCGTGCTGGTCTCTCTGCAGGCTCGCTCCCACTCACTGGCTACCTACTCCCCTCACTTGCTCCCTGGCAAGTTCCCCCAGCCCCTGCAGCTTCAGAGACTGCTGAAGGCTGACAAGGCCTGGACTCCTGTCTTCAGCCCCAGACCCACATGTGCAACCCCCCTTCCTGGGGCAGCTCCCATTACAGCGCTCATCACCCACTCTCCAGCTCAGCCTCCAGGAGCACGCTGTTACACCCCAACCTGTCAGCCGGGGCCTGCTGCATCCCAAACGCTCTTATAAATTTGCAAAATGAACAGATGACACAGAGGATGAAGAATGGACAGCAAGAACTTAGGCTAGGCTCAGACCCAGGACAATGTGGTGAAAAGTGACTGTCGCCCCCACACAGACCACCTACCTAGTTCAGATCTGTGTCGCCCTGTCCCTATCTCATTTCCTCTTCCTCTTCATCCTCCTCATCCTCCTCATCCTCTTCTTCTTCCTCCTCCAAGCGGCCCCGGTCCTTGGAAACCTCACCAAACTCAAAGTTGCCTTCAATGTCCAAGACCTGCAAATGCTTCAGCCTCCGGAAGGCGCTCTCCACCACAGAGCCCACGGCCAGCTTGTTAAACCTGTGCAGGCCATCCAGGCAGGGTCAATGTCAAGAGCACGGCCCCCAGAGTCCCTGCCTATACCCCTGAAAGGTGGAAGTGGAGGGAAAGTGGCCCAGCGGGTGGAAGAGGTGTGATGTGTGATGGAAAGCACTTGTTCAGGGCAGCCACAGCTGGGCACAGGGCTGGCACAGGGCCAGTCCCCTACAGAGAGCAGGTTCTGGTCTGTATACCCTACACTGCTGCTTCAGGAGTGGCAGCCCTGGTGCCAATTCTCTGTACACCTGTAGCACTTACCCCAAAACCTGGTGGCACCGAGGTGCCTGGTACAGCGCTGTGGTAGAGACTAGGGCACACTCAGCATGGGGACAGGGAGGCAGTGGCTCTGATCTCAGCGCCTCCACTCTATACCT